TCCTAATAACGACAGTCCGATCTCGTTACTTCCCGTACTTTCCAAAGTGACCGAGATTTCTTTGAATCAATTTAATGACTTTCTGACTCAACAAGGCAACCTCACCTGCCACCAGAGCGAGAATAGCAAATGCCACTTTACCGACACCCTGAATCTGCTTGCTACTGCTGATATTTCAAAGCAATGGACGAGAAGAAAATAACGGCTATGGTCCTATGTCATAGGACACTCCTTCTTACTGTCGCAAGGGCTTGGTGCGTCAAGTAAAACGTTGAAGCGGTTGAAGAGCTACCATACCAACCGTATGCAGTCAACACGACTAGGCACATAACGCTCTGAGGCGCTAATCGTTACACATGGCGTACCTCAGGGGTACATTTTAGGGCCACTCCTGTTCAGTCTCCACATGATTGACTTACCATTTCTTGTCAAATTTTCAAGTGTCGAGTCATATGTCTATGAGACCAAGGTTTACCTTTCGTTCTCTTTCAAGGACATTGACTCCTGCCTGACTAGAGTCTTCCTGGTGATGTACTAATAAGCTACTCATAAATCCTAGTAAACCAAACTCATTTTGTTTGGAATGCGACAGCTGTAAAGTAAAATTCCGGATGTGAGAGTTCCTTTTCTTGGCCAAAACTTAGCTCCCGTACCTTCAGTCAAATATCTGGGTATCATACTAGACTCAAAACTTACATTTAATGAACATGACACATTGACCTTCGTTCCTTATCTCTACTCTGTGTCAGATAAGCAGAGTTAAGAGATTTATTCAAGCAGATAAGCAGATTTATTCAATCAATCAAAACCTTTATTGTCAATAGTCCCGTTTTTATGCTTTCTTTTTTTTTTGTTTTTTGGTATTCCGATTAAATACTGTTGCTATTAATTCTGTTATTATCGTATACAGGGAAGAGTAAAACATGTGCTTAAATCACGCCTAAGGGACCCTATGCACTTTACACCTAATAGATATTGTTCTTTCAAGTTAGACAGACGAAACAAAAGGACAATACTACTTTGGTGACCACAACGCGGGAAAAATTAAAGTTTTTTATTTGTAGAAGGATCTCTCCCACTGATAATTGTAATTGACAAAGATGCCAACAAGAAGATGCGTCAGGTTTGAAAAATAAATGCAGGCGATGTAAATTTTCGCACAACCTTTTAACTTTATCCTTCCTCTCCATTTTTTCTACCTTGAAATGGTTTCACTTGATTAATTTTGGTGCTGCCCACACTCTAAAATGTTAAATCATTTATTTAGGTGAAAACTTTAAATTGCAGAGACCCGTACGATACTACCAAATCAAAACGGTGGAAATGCGGTGATCTAACACCATGGCCAATGTTTTGTCCTTTTTCTTTAAGACACATGATGCGAACAAGGATAAAGACAGTTAGCTTTCGATCTTTCCGAGACATACAGTACCTCTCCTTGACTAAAATGTAAGTACGCCTCAGTGCCAATTATACTTTACCGTCTTGCATAACACAACAATGTCTTAGACTCAAAATTGAACAAAAAAATTGAAACAGGAAGGAAAAAAGCGCCTGTTTACAGCTTAGTCTGGCCTTTTGCGAGATCTCAGTATTGAGAGCTAGGAGGGGACGGCGGCTAAATCTTTTCTTATTCCGTCATCACTAAATGGCGGGTGGAAAGCAATTCAAATATCTCGTCCTGTTTTGTTACAAATGCGTGAGTTAAGAACCATAATGCGATGAGTTTAACACTGCGAGGTGCAAATATTTAAGTAAATTTCCTTCAGAGGGAAAAATTAAGATTTCAGTTGCTCTTTAGTTGAAAAAGAGGATACCATCAAGCTAAATAGTCCAAAAGAGGTTAATCTTTTTACTTCCCGTACAAAAAAGAATGCCTGTAGTTTTCCTGCTACCTAGACTCACCTAGGAAAACGGTTGACTTTCCCCACTTCATCAATGGCGCACAGCAGGGAGAAGCCATGTGCGGTGAAAATGTGCTTTTAACCTATTCCTCGCTGTTTTGCCGTTTTCTCTCGTCAAATACAGTACAATTAAACAGTTTATATACAAAATTGCTTAAAACGTGTACTTTTCTGTCCGTAAAATTCGCCTTTTCCCTTAATATTACTTAAGAGGGAATTTGCAGAATACAACAGCTTTCGCGGAATTTACATACAGAAAACAAACCTGTAAAAGCTTGCACAGCAGTTCCCCTATGACCCGACTGTATCATTTGCATATTTCTTTTTTGTTTTGTGTGCAATTTTAGCGATTCTTATCACCTCTCTACCGCTCTTTTTCAATAGAAGTTTGGATGAAGGAAAAATTGGGTATGCTGCAATTGGGAATGCAGGATTCTACGTCATAGTTTATCTGTGAGTCACTTACTATAATAATAAAGATATCAGAAATTTGAATATGTCAAGCTATTTTTTTTTCTTTATCATAAGCCTCTAGACAGCGAATAATTTGTCGTTTTTTCTTATTTTTCACTTTAGCGACAAAGGGCATTATGATGTTAAATATATCGACATCTCAAGTTCTTTCTTGCTTAAAACTGAACTACTGTCGGCTTTTAAACAATCTGGATTTGCCAATCAAAGTATAGGAAAATACAAATTACTACCATGTTCACTGGGGTGGTTCGTTAGTGTCTCCTCTGAAGACCATGAATGCAAAGAGTGTCCAGCAGGTAAAGTACTTCTTAGTTTGGCTGACAATACATCTTCAAATTGTGAAAATAACGTATTAATTTGTCTTTGATATGGACATTTTGTTCTCATTGTTTAACGTGAACTTTATAGAGTATCAGAAGAAGTGTTTTTCTTTCTTAAAAGAATACTTAAAGCATGGAGATCTTTCGGATGTCCTACATTTTATTTTTAACAAAGAACAGACCTTGTCATTTTTTTGGTCTGATTGAAAGGCAAGTATCAGGAAAGAAGTCCATTTTGCGTAGTCTAACATGGACGATGTTGATCAACTAAAATAGGATAATGATAATGCTTATTGTTAAACTCATTTTCTTCGGGTTTTTAAAATTTTGTACGAATTCGTACAATGACGAAAAAAATTCAAAAAAAAAATCTCGTTACTTCCGATTCCCCCAAAATTTAGCCCACAGCAAGTTGATAGATTTAGCCAATTATGTGCCTAGTTCCAGCCACCGGGGAGTTTTGAGCTTCACGCAACGATTTTTGTCGGGAACACTTGTTTCCACATCTGAAGCCGCCCTTGGATACCTTGTGATGCCTCACTCATATATATGAAATTACTTTGTGTAGCCCTGACAATAGTG